TTATACGTTCCATTGGCATTCCCCATCTCTGCAGATTTTTGATAATAAATGAATGCCTTATGTTCATCCTTTTCAACTCCAATTCCATTTTGATAACAATATCCAACATTATACGTTCCACTAGCATCCCCCATCTCCGCAGATTTTTGATAATAAATGAATGCCTTATTTTCATCCTTTTCAACTCCAATTCCTTTTCGATAACAATAACCAACTCCAAATAGTCCATGAGAATTGTCCATATTAGCAGATTTTTGAAAATAAAAGAATGCCTTATTTTTATCTTTTTTAACCCATTTACCATGATAATAACAAAGTGCAATAATGATTTGAACCATAGGATTGAATTGATTATTTAAGCAATAATTTATAACATTATATGGATTTTGATTCTTTTTTATTAGAAGTTGTTCAATTGTATCAAGAATTGGTCTGGCACTTGTACATTTAAATCTTTCTTTACAATAAAGATTACATATTTCTTTAACAATTTCATTAAGAAAACCCTGTGATTCGTAGTTTTCTTCTAAATTCAATTGAATAACTTTGTTGGATATTTGAGTAATATCTAATGAATTGTTGATGTTTTTTGATTGCTTTACATTTGACATTTTTTACTCAATGAAATGATATGTTTAACATAGAATTCATCGAACGTTATTGAAGATATGTACTGTACGTTACGTAATCCATGTCACACCACCGACAATCACCTGACGCATGACGATCGTCATGCTAAGTTATTATCGCGAGGATCTTCACAGCTAAGCCCCCAATGGCGTGATTACGAAATCATTGTAGCTATTTAAGGTTAGGAAGAAGATAAGAAAGGAATATACACGATACGTATAAGATCAAGGGGAAGATTGGAAATCGATAGTACCTTTTTCTTCACTGCTTGACTTTAGTCTGGCTCTTTCGTAATGTTTCTACCCAAGAGAAAAAAGAATGAATAAATGAAAAGAGATGCTCAAGAATTAGCTTGACTTAAATTATGAATTTAGAAATGAAATTATAGGAAATATAAAGGAAAAATATACTAGTAGCTCGATGATTTGCTTACCGACATATGGATGGTTTTGCTTGGTAACTTTCTTCAGGACGCTCATGTGATGTATATAGTTGGGATATATAGTAAATCTTTATAAGTTCACGCTCTTGGGACTAAACTTTAATATCGTGCATTTAGAGAACTATAAGAAAAAAATGCATTCATGAAGGTCTTATATATTTGGACTCGAATTTGAGTGTTCATTTAGTGAGAGTTTGCACTTCTAGAGGGTGCACTTACGGAGGTTTCACTGTGCTTATAGATTTTTATCTCTCTAAATGCAATACCTCTCTAAAAGCACGTTTGAATAAATTTTTATATATGTTCCACGTCTAAATACGCAGAGATGAAATGTTAAAATTAATTATAAATTAAGTACTTTAATAAATATCGCTTATCAGCAGATTTATGGAATTGAGTTTACATGGATTTGTAAAATGCATCATCCGAAATTTTATTGCTATTTAATGGAAGTTTTTTTATAATGTAGAGGTAATTAAGTACTATCTATACAAAAGTTTTGTATCATTATCGTTAATTACTCCTTAAATTATTTTTATATACCAATGTAAATCCAATTCCGCTGATATGGGATTTAAATAAGGGTTTCACCGCAAAGTCTCAACGTCCAAAGTCCTGACAGCCAAAATTCCGACCAAAATTGACCGGAACTATAACCTGTTGCGGGCTAACTTATCATAATTTTTACTTTGTCGTGATTTTGGATGTTGAGATTTTGCAGTAGAACCTTAAATAAGCATGTACACATATATTATATTAGATAATTCAATTCAATTATTAATTTTTAATAAAGAATTATTAAATTAGCAATCCATTTTTAATTTTTAATTATAAAATTCATAATTAATACCCATTGCTATTCATGTTACATCCTGTTCTGACATTATTTATTATATTCCACACATAATACTATAAAAGTTCTGATATAATTATATAAATGATTCTAGAGAATGCTAAGAGACCCTTTCAACTTCTATATACTTTTAATCCCACCGACTTAAATACCTATAATGATCATGAAACGTGTTTTAGATGTTTTGCTAATCTTATTATTCTCAATTGTTTATAAGTCTGTTAAGGTTGGCACCAATAAATATTCCGTGATTCGTTTTGTAAAATCAATCAAATATATTAACATGAGAAAATTGGAATTGTGCAATTCATATTTCGCTAAATGCCATCTTTGAACCGTTTACACTTGAAGACCTTATAGTTATTTTAAAACTAGCAAAGATAAATAATAAAACCATTCGATGAGCTGCTCAAGGGCATACCGAAAATTCTTTGTCTGTCACAGAAAGTTATCCAGTGGTAGTTACAAATTTAAATCCCATTACTGTGCAAAAACATCCAAAATATGGTTGAACTGCTACGACTGAAGCAGGTGAATGTTTATACATATACAGTCAAACTTTTCTAAATGTTCTAAATGCTGATAGCTTGCATTTAGAAAACAAGAAAAAAAAGCATGTATAGGAAACTAAAGATTGTATTTAGAGAAATGCTGCATTTAGGGAACTGCATTTTGAAATGTTTTGCATTTAGGAAATTGCATTTAGAAAAATCCGACTATATATTTATTCATGATAAGATAACATATAAGAATGAATTACAATATTATTTAATGTTATTTGACTAAAAATAGGCACATCATTATCTGATCTTGATAAAGCACTCAGAAATCATGATTCGTCATTAACTCTTGATTCAACGGCTTTCTTGACATAATTCGAGTGTTAAGCATTATAGCGGTAGGTCATGTGGTGTAAAAACTAGTTAAGGCATTATGACAGATCAACTTTGCTCTATGAAGATCGTCACTGGCTCTGGCGAAGTAGCGAAAATAAGCAAATCAGAATTCAGTACTGCAAAAGTAAATTTAGGTATATAAAGGTTTACTTTTATTATTACTTCTCTCTCACTATCTAGCTTTATTGTCGTTTAGGTATTACTTGGTATAATCTATTCGTTGACTTTTTGCGTACAAGGATGTACAATCTTCGCATACTTGTCATCTATTTTCCAATAAACAAATGGCTTAATTCAAAGTATATCAAAAATCTTTTAGAATCATCTGATGACATTTTATTAAGTTATCAGCCATTCAATGGATTCAATCCGAATGTCCGAATTCTCTTGACCATAATAGAGATTTAGTTTTGGTTAAGAATTGGGACAAACTGATGAATCTGTGAACTTCACACAACAACAGATCAAACAATTACATGAAGCTCAAAAACAAGAAGCTTTTCATCAATATAAGCTCCAAATTAGTCTCTTGAAAAATCCCGAAGCAACTCCGAATGTTATTACAACAATATGGAATAGTACTACTAGTAATTGTAATACTAGTTCTATATTTCAGGCTCCTGATGCTATTCATTTCTTAGCTGACGAAAGAATCCTCAAGTTTCATGTGATAGAAATTGGATTCATAGTTGATCCAGATTTTTCTAATGTTGCTGAAGAATTTTTCATGCAATCCAAACAGTTAGTTTATAAATTTATCTAATATTATATTTTTAATATTCTATTGGTTTATTTTCATTGGTTTTTATAATATCCTTATTAATTTGTAGTTATATGAATTTGCAAAAAAAAGAAAATTTACATTAAACATACCTATAATTATTGGAATCAAAATCCACTGAAGCATTATTGTCTATGCCTTTCAATCATGACCCAAAAACTTTGTATTGTCAAATAATTTTTCGATCAGTTATTTGTACACCTGGATGGGAAGAATTTGCTCAATTATTAGCAGAGATATTTTTGATAAGTACAAAAGCAAAATTAACATTTTTACAACAAATTTCATTAACTAATTATACAAACTCATTTATTATAGACCTCATTCGGCAATACAATGGGAATTTATTTCAAATGTGAAACATTATCTTTCTGATGTTATATTGGATCAAATTAAACAATTCGAAGAAGTACGTACAAAGTAAAATTTTCTTTGATAATAAGTCTTCGCAGGATATCTTTAGTTGTGCTTTATATTCATCGAATAGTAAATGCTGAAGGAAGAAGAAAATTTAATGATGATAAT